CGTGCTCTCGAGTAAGGAGTTCCCCATTGTGTAAGTGTGTTCAAGTGGAGGAGTGTGTCTTGAGTGCCTGTGTGATTAGATGGTACACTGCTGCAGTTTGAACCTGACCAGAGCCTTACTGTTGGTGAATTCATTTCTTGGCGTATTGTGTTGCAGTTATATAGCTTAAAAGTCATAAATGCATGAGTCACAATGGTTTGGCCAGAGTATGGCAAGATGAGAGACCTTCCTTGGCAGGCTTAGGTGATGGCGGCCTTTCCATAGCCGGAACTTTTAATGTAGGGTCCACAAAAGATGTGGACAGGTCTGATAACTGGAGAATGTGTTATGGTAGTGGGAAGTTCTTCAAAGCACTTGACTCTGCCAGCACTGCCTTCATCTAAATTTGGTCTAGATCGGGGTGGCCAAAATATGGCCTGCAGGACAGATCCAGCCTGTAAAAGATTTTTGTCTGGCCTGCAGTGGGTCCCTCAGTCCTGCGTGGCCCAGGTGCAGCCCAGCCTGTGTCACGTTTAGTCACCCTCGGGCATGCAGCGGGGCTGGGGCAGCTCACTGGCTGGACTCCACTTCCTGGCACCCCTTGCAGTGGTGGCTTCTGGCTGTCCACCTTGTACAGGGGGTTAGGATCCCTGCAGTGCCTGATCTGGACCTGCCCACCATGGCCAAGATGAACAGTAGTGGTGGTGGTGGCTGTTGGGCAGAAACTGCTGCTGGGCACCATAAAAAAGCAGGATCTGGCAGCAGGTGTGGCCACCTCCCACTCACTACTGCCAGGGCTCTCCTCTCTGCAGCAGCCTGGAGCCCGTACTAGGGCTCTCCTCCCCACCAGTGCCACCAGCATTGTCTCCAGGCTGCCCTTCTACCCCAGGAAGGGGCTGGAGCTCCTGCCTGGCTTCAGCTCTGGCAGCTCAGGCACAGAGGCAGCAGTGGCCAGGCAGAAGCAGCTGCTGGGCGTTTGGGGAAAAAGCAAGATCTCGTGGCAGGCATGGCCACATTCCCCTTGCTGTTGCTGGGGTCCTTGCTGCAGCTGCCTGGAGCCCATGCAGGGGCTCTCCTCCCAGCTGCTGCCTCTGCCCCCCACCTTCCGTGCCTGTGGCAGGGAGGAACTGCAGGGCATCCCCAGCACAAGCTCTGGGCAGCCACAGCAAGAAGGGCCCCAGCAGTGGCAAAGGGGGGTGGTTACACCAGCTGCCAGGTTCTGCTTTTCCCCAGTGCCCAGAAGCAGCTTCTGCCTGGCTGCTGTCACCTCTGCATCCAGGCCACCAATGCTGAAGCCAGGCAGCAGCTCCCGCCCCTCCCTGGGGCAAAAGGGTGGCCCAGAGATGGTGTTGGCAGTGGGTGCCCTGGCTGAGCTGCCCCTGCTGAAATTTCTGCCCTCTTGCTAGGGATGTAAATATTATTTTAAAAAAATTCATTTAACCTTCTCTAAGTATATTGATTAACTGATAGCACAGCAGCATAGTCACAGCTGGTGCTGGCAGCCACTCCTGGCTCTCTGAGCCCTTTAACAGTGGGGAAGGGGGGAAAGAGGCACTGGCAAACCCAGACAGACAACTGAGCTCACCTGAAGCTGTGCTGGGAGGGAGGGAGCACCTGTGAACAAGCAGTTGATTGCTTAATTGATGAGTCATTATCATTAGGCTGCTCCTGTTTCCCTTTTAGGCTATGGGTACTAATTCCTCTTGCCTGCCTGCCTGCCCTCCCTGCTGCCTTCTGATTCCTGCTGGGGCACAGTGGGGCTTTCCTTCCCTGCCAGATTGCACCTATCATAGAATCATAGAAGTAGGGTCAGAAGGGACCTTGTAGATCTTCAAGTCTGACCCCCCGCCTGGGTGGGAGAAAAGACTGGACTCAAATGAGTCCAGCCAGGTAGTCATCAAGCCTCTTCTTAAAGATCCCCAGGGTAGGAGCCAGCA